AGCCACAAAACCATCTTTGTGCTTTCTGAAAACTTTGTGAGGAGTGAGTGGTGCAAGTACGAGCTGGACTTCTCCCACTTCCGTCTGTTTGATGAGAACAACGATGCTGTCATTCTCATTCTTCTGGAGCCCATTGAGAAAAAGGCCATCCCCCAGCGTTTCTGTAAGCTGCGGAAGATAATGAACACCAAGACCTACCTGGAGTGGCCCACAGACGAAGCTCAGCAGGAAGGGTTTTGGTTAAACTTGAGAACTGCAATAAAGTCCTAGGTTCCTTCATTAAAGGCCAGTCTTGGTCTGGTGGTGGTCTTTATATCACTAGTTGTAGCTGAGTCCATTCTGACAGTTATAGGTGAACCACATAAATGCACTGTCATTTGAAGGCTTGCTTACTAAAACCAGTAAAACTGTTCATATTTTGTCTAGAGTGCTGGTTCTTTTAAATGTTTTATTATTTTTTTTGGGGGGGGTGGGGAGGGCTGGGAGAGAGGGAGAGAGGATCCCAAGCAGGCTCTGTGCTGTCAGCACAGAGCCCAATGTGGGGCTCAAACTCACGAACTGTGAGATCATGACCTGAGCTGAAATCAAGACTCGGACGCTTAACTGACTGAGCTGCCCAGGTGCCTCTAGAGTGCTGTTTTATAAAAACTACCAGATTAAAAATTAAATGCTCTTGGCTTTGTATTAATCCTATGAGATGATCATGATCTGAGTCCATTATCGACATCTGAATTATCTGTAGCAATTGGTTTAGTTCATTAGGAAATAGCACGAAGGAACAGATTTCCCATGAATGTGTTGGTCAGTTTTCTGCAAGGATACTCATGCATGTCTGCAGATGGCATTCTCTACCCCACTTAGCTGTTTCCTCACTGTGTGACTGCTCTCAAGAACAAGAAGGCAAAAGGTTGGTGCACTCAGCCAAACTTGTTGCTGTTCCTAGAAAGAAGTGCCTTGAACTTCCGCATTAAACTTTACAGTATGCAAAGTACCTAGATGGTGTATTTTCACATGAACTGGGTCTGTCTTTCTGGGTGTTTGATAGGTTTCTCCAGTCATAGTTACTTGAGAAAGTATATATAACACAATATACAGTAAATTGTGGCTTCCCATGAAAATGAAACTAATGAAGTACAGTTGACCTAGAACAAGGCAGGGCTTAGGGGCAGTGATGTACCCCCTCCCTCTGCACACTCAAACATCTGTGTGTGTAACTTTTGACTTCCCAAATCTTAACTACTAGTCGTCTACTGTTGACTGGAAGCCTTACTGATAACATAAGCAGCCAATTAACACACATATTGTATGTTATATATATTATTGTATGTGGTATTCTTACACTAAAGTCAGCCAGAGAAAAGAACATCTTATTAAGAAAACCATACATCTGAGCATAAGTAGACCCATGCAGTTTTAACCTGTGTTGTTCAAGGGTCAAGTGTGAATGAAATACTTAGTTTAGAAGACCACGAAGGAAGCCTCCCACATCCCTGACTCTAATCTTCCTTCAGCCTTTACCTCTGGGTGAAGTTCTGATTAGTGTCTAGTTACTCTGGCTCTCGGTCCCTGTCTTCTCATCCATTTCTCCTGCAGCATCTTGCTTTTTTCTTCTGAAAAAGTCTTGTTTCTGATTCTAAAAAAGGCTCTCTTTTCCTCTGAACATTTACAAAAGCACATGTGAAGTAAGTAGATCTTTAAACAAGTATATGCCTAGCAATTCCTCAGCGTGACTCAAAAAATATTTGGTACACAATAATTTAAAAGATAGATACTACTTCCATATGTTAATTTTTATAAGCTAGAGTTAATACTACCTTGCATTTAATGCAATGAAATAAATTAAGCTAAGAACTATTTGCTGATTCGACACAAATTTCTTAAGTTGGGAACCACATGTGAAAGGAAGCTAACCTCCTCTGACCTGCTCAGTTCTTTTTTTTTTTTTTTTTTAATGTTTATTTATTTTGAGAGAAGGTGAGCACGGGAGGGGCAGAGAGAGAGGGCGAGAAAGAGAATCCCAAGCAGGCTCTGCACTGTCCGCACAGAGCCCCATGTGGGGCTCTGACTCACAAACTGTGAGATCATGACCCGAATAGAAATGACCGAGTAGAAATGATCTGACCTGCTTAGTTCTCAGCCAGGACTGGGTTCGTGTGCTTCATTGAGCTCTGGAGTCAGAAAAACCTGGGTCAGTAGATGCGTATCTTTGGGCAAGTCACTTAACCTGTCCCCAAATATTCTCCTGCCCTTAGAATAGGAACAGTAATATCTACATCAGAGGGTATGATGTAGGTCTGAATGTACAGCAGGGTAAGTAAACCAATGAGTGCATGCCCCTTGGTTCCCACTCCCTCTGGAGGGGTGAGGGGGGGCAAGAGGACCAAACCTCTGAGAACGGGAACCATGGAAGTTTGCGTGGGGTAATAGGGATGCCGGTAGTGGATGTTAGCTATTATTTTTTTCCCCAAGAAGTGATTCATCTTACAGATTATAGTTTATAAATGTATATTTTTCTCTTATGGGTACTAGCAGTGATACAAGGGACCCTGTTTGTTTTTGTTTTGTTTTGTTTTTGTAGAAAAATAGCCCAGAGAAATAAATTCATGAAGTGCATAGCAGATTTTAGGCCTGGGGAAACTCACAGTGTTTCTTCTCTCTCATAACAACTCCTGGGAAGTATGAAGGAGGAAACAGTAGCTAGTCTAAGAAAAAAATGGACAAATTCAGGAGAAGGAAACTTGAGATGCTATAATTGAGAAGGCAATTATGGACTATTTGCTTTACTTCTCTATGTCCTCCATTAAGTACAATGTTAATTATCATGAGAACCAGATAAATTTAACATGGACTTGGTCTGTAGACTTAATTTCAGTAATTTAAACAGCAATAGAAATAGCTCCATGGTTAATTGCTAGATTTGAAGTAATATAAAAATAATCTTTATTTTTCTCATTGCAAATGTTAAACATGTTCACTGTAGAAATTTGGGACACGAGGTAAGAGCATAGAACGAATCCACTCTTCCCCCTTCACCTTGGGATGACCACTGGTAACTGTGTAGTGTATAGCTCTCCATAATTTCTTCAACGTATATATACATATTCAAAAAATTGGGATGAGGTTTTCAATGCCTAAACTATGAAGGGAATGGCATCTTTATTGTTTTGTGTGAGCTTGTTTAGTGATTATCCAACATTTCTGAACTCTGAGGGTCATTTAGAATTCTATGCAGACACATACGGTTTACTCTCCCTGAGTTGCAAAGGGTTCTAAAGGCTATCCTCCTGCAGCTGTTCATAAAAGATAAATGGGAAATGCATCAGAGGTCAATTTAAGGACTCCTTTTATAGAAGAAAACACTTTAAGGTAGTGCTTTATCCAACAGTGACGTGTTTTTATTTGTCAATAGACTATAAGCTCAGGAATCTTGTTTTCTCTCCTTAATCGTTGCCCATGCCTGGTATGGAATAAGCATTGAATTAATGAAATATTTGCTGAATAGGGAAATAAATCAGAGTTCAATCTAATAATCTGGATGGTGAGTCAATCATAATACTGAAGCATTGGGAAGTTTCAAGAAGGAAAATTACCAACAGGTAGAAAAAATCTGAGTGTGAGTTTTTTCATTATGGTTGTGATAGAACTTTGAATAGCATTAAGAACATGGCCTATGTTTTTGACAGTAGGTGTGTTTCCTTCTACTTCATACAAGTATAATGTCTTCAAGTGTGCAGAGTAGATGTCTGATATGTGTGTGGTGGTCGCTGTTCAACAACTTACCAGCAATTTAAAACAAATTAATTTGGGGAGTCTATCGTTCTTGAGTTAATTCTTTTGGACAGTTCTTTCCTATTCCATTAATTTTACCCCCTCCTGCTGGATTAATTCATTCTTTCAGCAAATAATTACTGAGTGCCTATTATATCCAGCCAGTGCTCCAAGTGCTGGAGATACAACAGGGAACTAAATAGATAAAATTCTCTGCCTTCCTGGAAGGGGAGACAAACAATAACAAACAAATGTATGGTATGATTTCAGGTGTTGATAAGTGCTATGAAGAAAATAAAAGCAGAGTACAGCAACAGTGATGGTGTGTGCGCGTGTGTGTGTGCATGCGTGCATGTGAACAGAGTGGCACAAAAGAAGAGAGTGGTTTTCCTCCACTTTAATGCAACCCTTGGATGGGTCAAGTGCACTTGGCAGGCCCGGGAAACGCAGTGCAGCTCAGGCCCTTTGAATGGGCTGGGCTGTGGCACCTAGTGCTAGACATTTTGGGAATAATGCCCTCTACACAGAGGCCTTTATGGTGCCAAAGCTGCAGTAATCTCCTTGAACTGTAGATTACTTAACAACTCTGCCTACGTCCTTGAAGATGTTGAACTGGTTAGAAGATACCAGTTGTAACTAAATGTTGTATGTAAGAAGTACATTATCAGCCAAATTAGAGGTAGGATGTCCATGGCGGGTGCTAACAAATGGGCTGCATGCATCAATTAGAAAATGATCACAAGGGGAAAGATGCAAAGTGTGCTCTATTTGTTTATTCTGTTGTTCATGTTAAAACCAAACACAAACAGAGGCCAGACTTGAAAACTCCTTCAGTGGACAAAACCAGGTTAGTCATACAAGCAAAGCTTAATTTAGCTTAATTTGCGGAACAAGCAAAGCTAACTTGACCGAGATCACTTCTTGCTTACACCTCTGAAAATCATAAGCAAAACTTAAATTGTTCTCCCCAAATTGAGATGAGGTGATCACTAACCAATTCCCTTTCATTTAAGAAAATTCCCGTATTGTAACCAATCACCATGAAGAATAAACAGTCACTGCCTCCACACTATATAAGCTGCTTTATAACATATAGCTCTGAGCCTCATTCTGTGTTTTGGTCTGAGTGCTCCTGGTTTGCAAACTATCTTTTAGATGTGTGCACAATAAATTTTTACTAATTGCTACTTCACAGATTCATTGGTTTCACTTTTGGTTTTTTTCTGAACTTTTGACATTCAGCTTCTCTCTAAATTCTTTCCACATAGACAGACTGCTTAGGTAAGGCTCAGTTCTCTAAACTCTTGGGATCACCTCTGAAATTAAAAAAAAGAATATCGATATTAAGTGTAGGATCAAGGATTTAAAAATATTTCAACATGCAACACATTGCTTCTGGAGTAAGTCTGCTGTACTATTCCAGCCCTAGTGAATAATTAATGCCTTGAACTATTCCAATCACCACGGGTTGCCAGGCCACCAAATAACGAAGCCAATCCAGGATTTGTCCATATAAAAAGTGTGTGCGCTCCCAGCTAAATCTCAGTTAAGGAGGTTGCTCTATATACAGTCAAGTAGCACAAATATTCATGAATATCATTTGCAAATGTAATCAACAATGCAATGAGTATTTCCTTTCCTCTTAATTTTGTATGCTCATTTAAAAGCCCCTTATGTGATTTTTATAGCATTTGATTATCATTGTTATTTACATTACACCAAATTTCCAACAATAAAACAGATTACAATAAAATCTCAAACTATAAAACAACAAAAGGCAAGGGTCATATACTAACAGAGAAAGGAAGAGGAAGATGACGACACTGGAAACCAAGGATCATGGAAACTTCCTTAAGTGAGCCAAAACAGCCTTCGGCACTGTATTGAAAAGAAAACCATCACAGATAAGATACGCTTTTTCCGGTTTCTTTGATAAATTGTGCTAAGGGGATGTAATTAACACATAATATCTCTAATAGCAATGTTACATACATAAAGGCAAATATTCCCCAAGAAGCTTTTCTTTTTACTGACTCTCAATAAAAGGAGTACATGTAATATTCAAAAGCTTATTCTCTCAAGACTGTATGGAGTAACCGATGGTCCTTTGTTATTTAAATGAGCATTTAAGGTGACATTTATGATCATATCATCACCAACATTATAACAAAGCTGCATATATTTTAGTTTTATAGGTTGTTAACCAAAAGCAGTTCGGGACTTGGTTTCCTCCTATCAGAAGGGAACTTCAGAGAGAGCGGATGCACTGGAAGGAGGGGGGAGCATCACACACCAGAGGGAGCTGGTGGCCACAGAGGTGCTCTCTTGCTGTGGCATGGCCCTGAGACAAAAAGATGCTCCCTCCTCTGCTGCCCTAATTGCAAATCTTTCCTTGATTTGCAGTCATCAGAGAGGTGTGGGCATTGCCCCTGGCAGCCATTGTTAAAACTGTACATTCAGGGTTGGTAAAGAGTAGGAGGAGAGGGAACAAGGGAGGTGTCTCCTTCAGCACTGTAAAATTTAGGTGACTGGTACACAGAAAGTCTGGAAAGGCTGTCTCTTATGAGGAGAGACAGTACTTGGCAGGTTGATGCCAACCTCTCAATGTTTGCTGCTGAAGGTGGGGCTATGTTTCAATCCCACTTACCCCCTGGAAGAGATATACAGTAAAACCTTGGACTGTGAGTAACTTGTTCTGTGAGTGTTCCGCAAGATGAGCAAACATTTCTAATAAGTTTTAGCTTGATAAACGAGCATTGTCTTGCAATACAAGTAGTACGTGACACTGAACGTGACATGATCACAACTGAGCCGATGGTTCTTGAAATTCACTTCGATATACAAGTGGTTTGGATTACAAGCATGTTTCCAGAATGAATTATGCTTGCAAACTAAGGTTTTACCATATTATGGTCTTGAGCCAGTGGGGTTGAGGACTAAGTCTTTGTGGTCAGCTCTGGATGGGGCCACTGAGGCTTCCTGTGGCCTCAGTTGGAGAACCTTGGTGTCTATAAAAATCCTAGCTGCTGCCATAAGCTGTCTGTAGTTCCTCATTTTCTTTCAATATTATTATCACTAGGGTTTAGCCTAAGACAAGATGAGGCATGGCAAGGAATTTAAAAGACCAAATCCAGGGGGAAAATAACCTTACTCATTCTGGAAATAATAAACTATAGTATATCTTAAAAATACTTTTCTATATACTAGTTCACATTTGGGGATTTTAAAATTTCATTTCCAGTCTATATATTTATATACCCACCCACTCATCCCATCCACCCATTACCTGTCATCCAACTATCTGCCTACCTATCCATCCATCCATCCACCCACCCACCCACCCATCCATCATCTATTTATATAGCTATCATCTATCCATCTAATCCTTCCATGTATTTACCCATCTCTTGCAATATCCCATCACATTCCCACTAAAGCCCTTATAGTAGAATACATGGACTATAAAGAGTATAATGTATCTTTTTTGGCATTTAAATTCCTAGCCAGAGTAGTAACATAGGCACAGGGGAGAAAAGAGACTAGTAAGTCATTTTGAAATAGATACGGGAAAACAAAGCTTTCAGCTAAAACTGTAATGAAGATAATGAATATTTAGATTTAAGAATGCATTACCAGAACATTTACATAATATCTCACAACTTTTTTTTTTTTTTAAAGGATACGGGTTACTGATCATCCTCTTCAAATCAACCTTCTCTTTGCAGTAAGGGCAAGTCTGCTTTTTACCAACTATACACCAACCTCGGATGCAGAATTCGTGAAAGCTTAAGCATCTCGTTAGGGAAGTTTCTAGATAGTAAGAGGCAAGGTCTGCTTCATGATGGCATAATGGAAATGATCCCATCTGCAGGATGAAGTAGAGGGTGAGAATGGAAGTGAGTCATGACTTGAGTGTGCACATCACTCTCAGGAAGATTCTGTAGGCCAATGGAACCCCAGGACTGTGAGCTTGCAGTCAGAGCTGTAACAGCTTCAGGAACTTGCGAGGTTTACATAGCTTCTTGGCCTTACCTGTTCTTCTTGCTGCACTAGATTCTCCCAAGAATTAAATTAGATAAAGAATATGAAAGTGCTTTTTTACAGCAATATTTAACATCGCACTGTATTAATACATCTCCTTGCCTCGCTAATTGTGCATTTCTCATAGATTTACCATAGTGTTTCCTTGTTCTATGCTTTGTGCCTTACTCATTACCTACTACGTAATCACACTTGTCTTAGGCACCTAGACAAGCTTAAGTTACTTGTAGTCATAAACCATAAGTTTATGGAGATTTCTATTAGCTTTATGAGTCTTAAGATTTTTTTGTTACTGATAAGAAGGCATTTATTTTTAATAGAATATAACCTAATAAAATTCTGAAACACTAGGCATTTATAAATTCATTTGTATATATTTCCCTGACTGGAGAGTTTGGCCCTTTGCCCCCAAAGTTGAGAGCAAACCCTGTCTTTTCCCACAATTGCTCCCATTAGAGCTCCTATCACACTGTAGCATGACATTCCATGTATATCCATGTCTCTCCTGGACCACATGAAACCTGTGGGACCAGGTCTCATTCTTCCCTGTCCTTAGCACCTGATACAGTGCCTAAGTGCCTATTTATTAAATAAATATTTGAGTGAATCACGCAAAACCAACTACTTTTGCAGATATATTTTCTCAGGTTCCACAACATTGTAGATTTGGGCAAAATGAGTAATAGTAATGAGATCCATCCTATTTATTTAGTTATTTTTACAATTGTTGATCCCAGTGTAGCTTTCTGAATCAAAATCAAACGATTTTCTGACTAGCCTGCTACATGTCCATGTGAACAGCAATGATGTAGCAGTCTCCTCCCTAATAAATGGGAGTGTAGAGCAGTCAAGACCATGTGTATAATTCCTCAATATTAGATGTGTATGTAACTAAGAGTTTTCACTATTGTACGTTTTTGGAATTGGGTCATTTTTGCAAAAGGCTTGGATTAACATAAAGTGGTGTATTATAGAAAAGATTTTAATAAAAAAATTTTTTTAATGTTTACTTTTGAGAGAGAGAGACAGCATGAGAAAGAGAGAGAGAGAGAGAGAGAGAGAGAGAGAGAGAGAGAGAATGAGTGGGAGAGGGGCAGAAAGAGGGAGACACAGAATCCATAGCAGGCTCCAGGCTTCAAGCTGTCAGCACAGAGCCTGACACAGGGCTTGAACCTATGAACCACAAGACCATGACCTGAGCCAAAGTCGGAAGCTTAACTGACTGAGCCACCCAGGTGCAACATTATAACAAAGATTTTAAACCCAAACCCCTGCAGCCCTTTATTCAAAAGGGCTGGAGTATGGCCTCATCTTCCAGATAGATATAGAGTTCAGGAGTCATAGAGCCAGCATTGAAATGTCCATGTCCTCTTAATATCCTGTCTCATCTTTAAATCTTGATCCTGAAAAGTCTCCAAGCTGGCAGAGTTGCTGCAGAGCAATACTCAGATTCCTTCCCCTGCCCCACCTTGTTAATATGACTCACGTTTACCCACTCCTTGCTAATATGATTCATGCTAAAATGGGCCATTAACAGTACTCCCTGCAAAGCAAATTTAAAAGTGACTACATTTTAGATTACATATGCCCACATGCACATCAATCCCTAAGGGGTTTTAAAGGTGGAGAGAGAAAATATTTCCACTTGCAAATGGCATAAGGGGCTCTGTTCCAACACTTGAAAAGTAAATCGTATTTAAAACTAGGGCCAGACTTGGAAGGATAGTTTTTTGGGAAAGGTATCACACTGGAAAACCACCATAGAACTCCATATGGGATATTTTTGTGTTTCTTACCTTAAAATGGTAAGGCTTAAACGTCAGGAGTAAGGTCTCCTATTGCATTTCAGATGCATTTACTCCATTTTTTAACTCTCAGGATTGAATAAATGGAATCTGTCCAGATTAAACAGAACCGAGTCATAGGCACTGCACATCTAGAGTATTACTGAGTTAGGTGGGCTTCAGAGGCAAAAGACAGATGGTTTAACCACCTCATAATGCCAGAGGGTTGAACTGAGTGCAGAGCAATATTATAAAGTTGATATTGTACTATAAAATAAAGACAAATGATACCTTATTTTCCCCTATATTTAGGAGAGAATTAAAATACTGATTGTCGGCCAACCCAAACACAACTTTGGTATCCGGAGTTACATGTTCAGGACTCTTGATCCTAGATCTTTCCATATGTTGAGGTCTTCCTCAACGGTTATTGGAATTCCCAGAGAATGCTGGTTTCCAGGCCCAGGCTTGTCTGCATCCTAACACCTAAAGATCTATCAGCCATTCAGGGCAGACCTCGCAGACAGAGGAGCCACATGGTTCAAAAACTAGATGCTCAAGTTTTGGTCCCTCCTTTTGTAGTCCGAGGTGTCCTGCTGCCTGTGACGTTATCTTCTTTCCAAGACCAGAGCTGATAGCTGGTTGACCCCTCTATCACTGTTGACACAAGTAAGTTCCTAGGATTATTTCTAGGCAAAGCATACTTTGTTGTTTTCAGTCCTGTGAGATTCAGAGGCTCCACCTGGACAGTTCTGAGTTCCTCTCTGAACCTGAAACTCCACTTTTTCTCACCCCCACACCTTTCTCTCCCAGGTTCTTCTTGGCTATCTGTTCACGTACGGCTTTGCCAACTTTCCCAGCCAGTGTCTTGGGCAGATGCTACATACAGCCTTTCTCTCTGGGTAGCATGAAGATTCATTTTTACAAAGGAAATCACTGGCCAAAGAGGTTCACCTCAGTTAGCGGTTCCTTAGTTAGCAGAGATTATCAGAAAGTCTCAGCAAGAGAGAAGGTGGAGGACAAGGACCTGGGGTTTGGGGATGGGAGCTAAGCAAGGCAGAGGAGATGGGGCTAGGAGGAGGGGAGGAAGGTATGAGACAGTGCTCCCTGACTTGCCATGACCAGATTATTTGAAGATTGCCTCCCATCATCGGCTTGATGAAGCCCATATGGTTTCCCGTGAAAAGGATACATATGATTGCATGAGAGCTGGTAGGTGTTTTCAATGAGCCCTTCTTCATTGAGCTCCACAATGATCTTCTGCCCACAGACGGCGCAGACATTGTCTGACAAGCTCCTTGTGGGCATCCCACTGACGCTGTAGAACTGTTTGGGGGAAATGCACAGAGCACTGTTAGAAAGGAGAGCGCATACCATTCATTCTCTGAACACAGGAACACCACTTCCAGGCTTTGGGACATAGAGTTTTCACTGCTTCTTCATTGGTTTAGACTTGAAACACTTTTCCTCCTAGGAATGCTTCAGTGTAGTTAGGGTCTCCAGGCAAAAACCCACTGAACTCCAAATGGACCCAGAGTACACTGCTAATTATAACCTCCAATTTAACCTCCCCATTGAGGAATCCTTCAAGAGGAAAGGTTTTTATCCAGGGCTGTAGTTCAGAGTCACCCAGGAAGCTTTTTAAGCTTACCTGTAGCCTAACCCTTTCTCTTATTCTGGAGACTCTGATTCACAGATCCAGAGTAAGCTCAGGCATCTCTATCATTTTTACTTCCCATGTGATGAGAGGGAGCATATAGACTAATCCCATTGGAAAGCAATGTTTTTAGAATTCTAACCTGGGATACCTGCATCTTTCCAATGCTGTGGATGAAGAGTGGTTCCAATATTGGCAGCACATTAGAATCCCTAAGAAGCTGTTTTTTACAAAATAAATATTTATTTAAATATTGTTTTATACGTAAAGGAAAGATATGAAGATAGTACCAGTTCCCATATACCATATACCCTATTTCCCCTATTATTACCATCTTACATTAGTAGGTATCTTTGTCACAATCAATGAACCAACATTGACACTTATTATGAAATAAAGTACATACTTTATCCAGATTATATTTTTAAAATTTTCTTATGTTTTATTGTATATTTGAGAGAGAGAGAGAGTGAGAGAGCGCACAAGATGGGGAGGGGCAGAGAGAGATGGAGACACAGAATCCGAAGCAGACTCCAGGCTCTGAGCTGTCAGCACAGAGCCTGACGTGGGGCTCGAACTCATGAGCAGTGAGATCATGACCTGAGCCAAAGTTGGATGCTTAACCCACTGAGCCACCCAGGTGCCCCTATTCGGATTAGATTAAAAAAAAAAACAAAAAAAAACCGATGTCCTCATTCTGTTCCAGAATCCAATTCAGGATACCACTTCGTTGTTATGTTTCCTTGAGCTCCTGTTGGCTGGGGTGGTTTCTCAGACTTCCCTTTTTTTCCTATGACTTTGACAATTTGGGGGAGTATTTTGCGGAATATCCCTCAATGGGAATTTAGCTGATGTTTTTCTCTTGATTACAGTGAGGTTATGAGTTTTAGGAACGAAGATAACATTCTTATCACACCATAGCAAGGGTACGTGCTATCAGTCTTATCACTGTTGATTTTCACCTTGATCACCTAGTGTGATGCAGTGTCTGTCAGGTTTCTCTACTATAAAGCTACTCTTTTTTTTTTTTTT